TATCACCTTATATACGGAATATATAAAAAGTTATCTCAAGCTAACACTTTTAGAAATATTGATAGATTCTTATTTTCACATATGTGAAGTGAAACATTTGTCATCATATAGGCCATGTATTTACGTCAGGCACCTTTGTTTTGAGTGTTTGACCTAGATATTTGTCAAGGAATCTATTCTAAAATTAGGAAATTTAGAAAATTGTTATAAAATTTCAAATTTTGTAATTTTGTTAGAAAATTACAAATTTAGGGTCATCTGGGTATTCTGGGTGAAAAAAAAATTCTTTGGACTTTCTAGTGAAAGACTGGTTTCACTAATATAAGCCATCATGAATCCGGTTATATTTGTATATTGAGTATAAGAAACAAATTACTTCAGGTATGATAAACTATACTTCATGAATTTAAAAAAATATTAATTTCTGAGTATAATATAGGCAGAGTCCAGAGCATAAGGCTTTAAAAATTTGTGAATATGTTAAACAAATATGAAGACACTTCCTTTTAATCGCATGGTAAATACATATTTCAAAAATAACACTGTAATAATAAACAATCTAAAGAATTAAAAAGTATGCAATTGAGATTCCCATTGGGAAAAACATACATCTTAGACAAAGCAATGAATAATCCTTTTTAATTTTTTTAGCACAAATCATTTATTTTTTAGACAGATACTTCAGTTAAAATGCCTATCGCAATGCCAGACTCACACGGCCTTGTGTTTTCAGAGCCATTCTTCATGATTACACCACCACCAAACAAAAGTTTCCTATGTTAGTGTCAGAGTAACAGCAAAATTAAGTGAACATACTTGCAGTGTCTATAGAGTTTCAAAATATGACTAAACTAATAGCGTAGCTTGATCTTAATTGTTAATATAGGGCAGTAAAAGTTGACTTTTTAGAAAAAAAATATTTTTGCTACAAGGCACATGTGCTCACTTGTGAGACAAAGAAAATGAGAAAGCACCGCTCAGAGAGAATAATCATGTCACAATCCCTTCTCTCCCATTCTCCTCTTCGAATTTTGGGCACCAGACACATGTCTGGTGGGCACCTGGCGTGATTTTTAAGCCACTAGATCTAGAACTGGAACTGCTCAGTTGGCCATGTGGGATCTAGCTGCCTTAGTCACCGCACCCCTTGGCTGGTCAAGGTTGGCTTTTGGTTAGCATAAGACAAATTACAAGTATAAATAATTTATAATATGATCTAATTATTCTACTTATTTATATAAACTTTTGAGGAATGCAAATCATGAACAGTAAAATATGGAGTAAAGCAAATTCAAATGATAAGAGCTGGTCAGGCTGCATATAGTTATATGTTATATTAAAATAATAGCATTTCAATATGTTGATAAAGATAGAAACAAAGTGATTTCTTAAAAAAGAACCCCTTTGGGTAACTGTAGAGCCTCTGCTCAAAACCGCTCATTCCAGGTCAGTAATCTAGCCAGGATCAATCTGCATCTGAGATGGACTTGACTCTGCTCTTTGATTGAAGAGCTTATGCTCAAAATCTTTTCTTCTAGCCCAAACATCTAACCAGAATCCATTTATATCTGGGGTGGGTTTGGCACTGCTCCTTAAAAAGAAGAACCTCTAGAGAAGAAGATTCCTCAAGGCTCCTGAGAACTAGGTATTTCAGGGCACATGAGAAATGAAGATTTTCTACTGATAATTCAGCCTCCAGCAAACAAGCTAGCATGGTAAAGTTTCACAACAGAATGACAAAGAGACTCTAGATCACCTCTTTCTGCTTGCTCCTGAACATTCAGACTGAACTTCAAGAATTTGAAAGAAACACACCATCCATCAGATGACAAGACATCACCGCTGGATCACAAGAAATATGGGAAAACAAGGAAATACCTCTCCTCTAAGGGAAAAGAGTAACTCTTCTTCATCCACAAGCAGTTAGGTGGAAATCATGGAAATGTCTGATAAGGAATTTAGAGCATTCATAATGTCGAAGCTAACAGAGATGGAAGAGAAGAGAGACAATGAACTGCTAAAGAGAAAGAAGAAAGAAGTTGACGAGTTCCAGGAGATGAGGAAATTCTTGCAAGATCTAAAAGAGGAATTACACACTTTACAAAAGACTCAAAGGGACCTGTTAGAGATGAAGTCTATAATACAGGAAGTCAAAATCTCCCTTGAAAGTATTAAAAGCAGACTAGATCATACAGAAAGTAGAATCTCAGAAGAGAAGAGATTCTACTTTCTGTAGAAGAGAAAATGACTGGCCTAGCTAAATCCACCATGAAGACTGAGAAAATGGCCCAAAATTTTGAGAATAATATACGAGAAGTACTAGATACTATCAAATGTCCAAACATCAGGATAATTGGCATTTCAGAAGGTGAAGAGACCCATAAGGGCATTGATAATCTATTCCATGAAATCCTGCAAGAAAACTTTCCAAACCT